TTTAAGGAAGGACTTTTTTATTTTTTTCTCTAGCATTACAACAAACAGAAACATTAGTTGAGTTGTTGGATCAAGCCAACAACCACATATTAATAGAAGAATATAACTCTCACCCCTCCCCCTCACTTTATTTAGAGTCAAGCTAACAAATCCTCATGTGTTAAAGAGATTCATCCGGGGAGAAGGGCGAAATTCAAAACACAATCCTCGCTCACCTGCTCAAGTTCTCTTTAAAGATTCATGATGATACTCAGATGTTCAAGCAACTAACTGAGCTCATAACAAAGAAAAATGAGCCAAGTACCCTGAAGGAAGTCAACTCATTATAAGGAGCGACCACCACCTGCTTAAGAGATCTCCATGCATAAACATCTAAGATTATAAGAAGCTGAAGGGGGAGAAGGTCAAGTCCCTTCCAAAGGATATGCATATCGTTGAGGCAATGTTTACCAGTCACCATCTCATTTATGCAGTACACTGCCGAGGCAACAATCACCCGGATGTTGTAGGGTGAGACGACCAAGGATTGATGGTGCCTCTTATAAATAAATTAGGTAGCCCAAGCAAGGGCAACAAACGAGAAACTAGCCACCAAGCAACAAGAACAAAAGTGTCCCCCAGTGACAGTTAACTCCATATAATATGAGGATCTGCTCCACTTGACTAGCCTAGTCGGTCGGAGGGGATTGAGCTGCAATAGAAAATTGAGTAGTCAGATCATAAGTTTGATCAATTAGCTAAATGTTTCTCCATGTTGTGTTAAGGATTGAATCTGACAATCAAACCACATATGATAGTGTGAGCGCAATCATTTTCCTTTTCATGATGATCTTCTTCCTCTTCTCACTCTTCAGAGAGTCTCATCCTTTCAATTTCTCAAAAAATGGATCGAATTAGATTTTTAGTTGGTACGTTAGAATGAAATTTCATTTATTTGTCCATCACAACAACTAAGATACAAGAGCTGACCAACTAAATAGAAAAAAGCGCAAAGCAAAGTAGGCATGGAAGGAGTCTCATCGCCCTACTTATAAGAACCAGAGTCTCCAAAAGCAATAGAGCTCAATCACTGAGACGTTAATTAAAATAAAATGAGACTTACTTTTGCATTTAATTTTCTTATTATTATTGCAATGTCACTTTTAAGAAGTAAGAGAACTAGTGAACTAAAATATGTGCATTAGAAAATGTGTCTTCACAAATTTTTCAGAGATTGAATGATCTAAAAGAAAAGAATATGATAGAAGCAAATTCACTACAAGGAGATCGTGAGGCCCACATAACCAGACAAATCTAAGCCATACTAGTCAAATCAACTGGCCACAACCGACCGAGCAAAAATGCGGAGAAGAAGACAACAAAATGAACCAAGTGTAAGTCATTCAACTGGAAATGAGACTATACAACGTTCGAGCCATCCGCTATAGAAAAGCAGACTCGATGCAATAGCCTATCCCACAATGGAACCAACCCAATAAATGAGCCAATTCAACAAAGTATCTTCAACTACCCAACAAAGACCCAAAGACTCCATTCAAAGAATCGAAGGAGACCAACCAGGTTAGATCAGTCAATTGAACCCTACCGACCAATCTTAGCAGATCGAGTTGACCAAGTTGAGCCATGTCAACTAAGCTTAGCCGACTTAGTCAGAAGGCAACCAAACAATAATTCAACACTGGCAAAATACTAGAAATACCCTAGTACATATCCTCTTCAAATACAAGTAAAAATATAATATCACTATCCTACTGTCTTCTCTATAAATAAGATAAATATTAATAAAGAATCATCACTATTTACAACTGTTCACCCCCTCTCTCTCTCTCCTCATTTACGCTATATTCCTTAGTTGTGATTCATGGACATTCTCAATTTCAACAAGTATTAAGATGGTGAATTCTTTATTATCATTACAATATCTACTCAAACCGTGACACACCTTATAATTTTAGGGCATTTACATACTTCCGTACATTTCTCTTGTATTCATATATCCAACATCTAAACCTTCATATTTGCATGCATACTACTCACATTTTGAGCTTCACATAAAAAATATTAGCATCAATGTCTTTCAAAATGTGAAATACAAAATATTTAAAATATAAATATCAAACTTTTGATACTAAATATGTAAAAACTAAAGAACTACATGATATGTATGTAAATTTTCATTTACATCTTTGTAGAAAGGAGAACATATGTATCTTCCTATTACGAGAATCACGAAGTCCACTTGTCCTCCTAGAGTGGGCAGCGGACGCAGCTTTAGCCAACCTCCACTGTACTCTTTCAATGCCCTAGCTCGCTCCGTCTCCTTCTCTTCAGATCATCCCAAGACGAAGAACTCTTCCTGTCTATGATTCCAATCCGTTGATTTTCTATAGAAGGTACGCGTTATTTTACCTCCCGACTTGCAATTTCTATGATTTCGATTCTTGTTTAATGCCTAGATCTTCTTTGATCTCATTTTGGAACTCATTATCTTAATATTTATGTTTTTTTTTCGTAAATTTAAATCTCCTTTTCGTCATCAGACCCTTATTTTCACAGTTTATTCGAGCTTGTAACAGCTCGTTAGTTAATGTAGTCTCGTCTGTCTCAAAATCAAACATTCCTCGATGGATTCGAGGTTTTTTATAGTAATGTGTGAATGTATATGGCATCTCGATCCTATTTCTGAGGTAGTGTTAAGAGAATTTGGATCATAATTATATTTTTGTCATTGTATCCTATCAATTAGCTCTATGGCTTTCGAGTTGGTTTTTAGCAAATCTGATGCATTGGGGTTTGGTGATTTTTTTTTTTTTCTGCTTTGGAACTGTCTTCAGGCTTAAAACGTTTAAAGCAGTGCAAATTTTGCGGTTTTTTGGATGCTGATCTGTGATGTTACCGTCAGATTATACTATGAATCCTTGTTTTTTTTTTTTTTTGTTAGAGTTTTATGAAAATTGTTGAAAGCATTGTTATGGAATTCTGAATTTAAATTTAACTGTGTAGCAGTAACTGTTAGGGCTAGATGGATACACCCCCACCACAGGCTCCTGTGGGGTACTCCAGCTCTTCATCACCCCCAACCATGACAGGTTCTCTGCCTGAGAACAGAATAAACAGGCCTCCATTTTCTTCTCCGCTAGCTTCAAGACTTTCACCTCAGAGGTCTCTGCAGGACCAACCTCAGAGGTCTCTGCAGGACCAGCTTCTCTTGTCTTCTTCCAGATCTATAAGCTCCCCAGACACTGGTACTGGTGTTTCTAGCAGTAGTCCACTGACCCAATTTAGCAGTCCTCCAGGCCCTCCTATTTTCTCTTCACCATTGCGGCCAGCAGCTGTTCCCTTCCAGACTTCACCTGCTAGTCCACAACCAATTGCCTTCTCATCTGGTTCATCTCTACCAATGTCCTCACCGCCAAATTTTACAAATGGAACTGCTCAATTTCTGGTGCAGCATCCATCTACTGTAGAAGAGACTATTGAATCACCTTATGTACAATTCTCCGCTCACAAGGTATTGTTTTATTTTTTATTTTTAGTGTTGTCTGCTAAGATTCTTTAATGGAATCTTATGTACAATTCTCCGCTCACAAGGTATTGTTTTTTTTTTTTGTTTGCTAAGATTCTTTAATGGAATATTTACATACATACCACTTAATTCATATGTATTTACATATTTTAACATCTAAACTTCAATTTTTATTTACATTCCATCTTACCCATGCTTGAAAAGGTATATTTCACTTTTTAAAATTTAAAATGGTGGTATTTTTTATGTGATATTAAAGATTTAGGTGTTATAGATGTAAAAAAGTGAAGTATAGGTGTTAGATAGGTATGTATGTAAATATCCCTTCTTTAAATTTTACATAAGGAGTGAAATACACTAACACTAGTTGGGAAGATTTACATACATACCACTCAATTCTTATATATTTCATATTTAACATGTAACTTCAATTTTTACATATATTCCACCTTATCTATGCTTGAAAACGTGCATTAAAAACTGAAATAGTGGTATTTTTTTATGTTATTGGTAGTGATATTTCCTCCAACTACTAGTTATGACCACTCCAAAAGCTACAAATTGTCTGCTTTTTCCTGTTGGATGATATTTAATTCATCTTATCTCTAGTTAGTTGCTTCTGTTTTATTGCTTATAATCATACTTTTAATTTTTAAACCTCTGACATTTTTAATTTTTTCAGATTTTGAAGCGTAAAAAGCAGGCAAATATATCAAGCTTGGGATTTGGTGCTTTAGTGTCTCCTGGGAGGGAGATAACCCCTGGCCCTCAAGTTGTTCAACGCGACGCTCACCGTTGCCAGAATTGCGGCGCTTATCCAAACCTTTATTCAGAAGTTTTAATCGGTTCTGGTAAGTGGAAATGTGTAATCTGTAAGAAATTAAACGGCAGTGATAGCGAATACATTGCTGCTAACAAGGAAGACCTCCATCATTGGCCGGAACTATCTTCTTCTACAATCGATTATGTTCAGTCAGGAAATCGAAGGCCTGGATACGTTCCAGTTTCAGACTCGAGAATGTCTGCTCCTGTATTTCTCGTCATCGACGAGTGCTTGGACGAAGCTCATCTCCAACATTTGCAGGGTTCTTTGCATGCATTTGTCGATTCACTTCCACAGAATATGAGAATCGGCATAATCACATATGGTCGAACAATTTCAATTTATGATTTTTCTGAGGGTTCAGTGGCCTCAGCCGATGTGCTACCGGGTGGTAACTCGCCCTCTGAGGAATCATTGAAAGTTTTGATTTATGGGAGTGGCATATACTTATCTCCGATGCACGCTTCGCTTTCTGTAGCGCACACCATCTTTTCGTCTCTAAGACCCTACAAACTTAACTTTCCCGAAGCAGCCCGGGACCGATGTCTCGGTGCGGCTGTTGAGGCAGCCATGGCTATCATTCAAGGTCCCTCTGCGGAGTTATCTCATGGTATTATTAAAAGACCCGGAGGTAATTGTAGAATTTTGGTTTGTGCAGGGGGTCCAAATACATATGGACCTGGATCAGTTCCTTCCTCATTGAGCCACCCGAACTATCCATTCATGGAAAAAACAGCCATGAAATGGATGGAAAATCTTGGTCATCGGGCACATCGTAACAACATCATCGTCGATATACTATGTGCTGGAACTTGTCCAGTAAGAGTTCCGGTTTTGCAGCCGTTGGCGAAGAGCTCCGGTGGCGTGCTTTTGCTTCACGATGATTTCGGGGAGGCTTTTGGTGTCAATTTGCAGAGAGCTTCAATGCGCGCCGCCGGTTCCCATGGATTGTTGGAGATTCGTTGCTCGGATGATATTCTCGTTACCCAAGTGATTGGACCAGGGGAGGAGGCCGTCGTAGATGCTCACGAAGTTTTCAAAAATGATTCATCTTTTTGTATACAGATGCACAGCGTGGAAGAAACACAAAGCTTTTCATTATCCATGGAAACTAAAGGCGATATTAAGAGCGATTATGTTTATTTTCAGTTCGTCGTTCGTTATTGGAATGTGTATCAAGCTGACATTTGCAGGGTGATCACGACAAGATTGCCAACGGTGGACAGCGAGTCCCAATATCTTGGAAGCATTAAGGAAGATGTGGTTGCGGTGCTTATTGCTAAGAGGACTCTCCTTCATGCCAAAACCGGCGCTAATGCAATCGATATGAGGATAACAATCGATGAGAGAGTTAAGGATATTGCTTCAAGATTTGGTTTAATGCTACCAAAATCGAAGCTTTTTCGCTTCCCGAAGGAGCTATCTTCATTACCCGAGATTTTGTTTCATCTCAGAAGAGGGCCGCTGCTTGGCAGCATTGTTGGTCATGAAGATGAAAGATCGGTTTTGAGAAATTTGTTCTTGAATTCGTCATATGAATTGTCACTTCGTATGTTGTCACCTCGTTGCTTGATGCATCGTGAAGGGGGCACTTTCGAAGAGGTTCCATCTTATGATCTTTCGATGCAGTCAAATGCTGCTGTTGTGCTCGATCACGGAACGGATATTTTCATATGGCTGGTATGTAATTCTAATTTTGCACATTCTTGATTTGTTGTGTCCACTTTAATATTGATATTTATTTTTGTTACTTTGTTATGGTTGTCTGTTGTCGTGTTCATTTAATCGCATTATCTACTCATCAATAAATTACTCTTTTTTGGGGAGTTTACATACATGCCACTCAATTCCCATATATTTACAATTTAACACCTAAATTCTATATTTTACATTTATTTGACTTAAATCTTTCATATCACAGAAAAGTATCACTTTATTAACTTTTAAAAAGTGGAATACACCTTTTTCATGCATATGAAAGGTGGTATATATGTAAAAAATTGAAGTTTAGGCGTTAGATAAATAGATATATAGGTATTGAATGGCCTGTATATAAATCTTCCCTTTTTTTCATCACACTTATTTTTGGCCATTTATTCCTCTGAGAGTTGTACTATATTTGCATCTCTTTCATGCATCAGTTTTTGTCTTAATGATCTCTGATAAGAAGGGATGTCCAATATTGAATTTTGCTTACTCATTTTTAGTAGCGCTTATTCAATCTTTTTGGGGTTTTAAACTTTATTTCCTTTGTATCAATTTGAAGGACAAGATTGGTCTTGATTTGAATATACGATGCGAGTGTAATGCAACCTTATAATTATATTTAATTTATTTTCTAATACTTTAGGATTTATTTCAATTTTTTATGATTTCTGGGTTTATTTTAGTTTGAAATCAGGATGAATTATACTTTTAGATAGTTTTTAGTTTTGAATTTGAATTTGTATTAGAGCTGATTTCAATCTTTTTTTTTTTCGCACACACCCAAATACATGCACACCGCATATGCAATGCCTTGAATCCATAACCTCTTGATTGAAGGATAAGGCTCTCAACCACTAGGCTAAGGTGGCTTACATAGCTGATTTCAATCTTATATTTGTTTTTCATTTTCTATTATTAGTGGCTCTTGCTTTGCATTTTTTTGTCTTCTGTATTAGTTGGTTGCTACGATTGCAATTGTGCTCGTTTATTTTTTTAATCATTGCATCTTCTTCTCACAATCAATATTTTGATTGTAAACAAATTCTCAAACACAACTATCGAGTAAAGTGCCGACTCTTGACCATTTACATGGGGCTATTTAAGTCCCAACATTTATAAAATGTCAAATTAATCTTAAACTCTCTAAATTAGGGTTAAAATAGTTTTTGTGGGGATTATTTTAGCCCATATTAAAAGAATATGGAGGCTAAATTGACATTTTATAGAGTGTGGGACTAAATTGACTCTTTAAAAACATAGGGGACTATTTTCACACTTTTCTCCACAGCTATCCATAGCCTTGTTCTACAATTCCACCCTCTCATAGCTTCCGATCCTAGCCTTTGAGCCACTAAGGAATTCATCAAACAACCCTTGAGGACACCAAGTTTTCTTCTCATCTCATCCTTAAATTACATATCATTGAAAGGAATAATTACAATAATTTGTATTATCAATTTCTTAAACCTTAGTCTCAAGCATTTTGGATTTTTTTTTATATGTTAACTTGGCATCAAAACTGCATTATTTTTTATGCATACTTTGTATGTGAAAGATGCATGAGAAACACAAAAGTATGCTCGTGGGGTTTATGTTATTATTTTGTTGATGTGTTTAATAAATGCCCTAAGCATCTCCATATGGATTTCTTTAATATGATTTAAATTTTGGTTGCGACAATTAGATGAATATTGTTTTAAGTTCTAGATGATGAATTTTAGAAATCATTCAATCATTAGTATATATAATATTATTTATCAATTTCTCTAACTTGAATGGTTCAAAAACGAGTATCAATTCCATTAGTTTAGGCATCAATGCACATTGACAAGCTCAAAAATTTGATACTTATTATGAGTTGTTCAATGAAGTTTATTATTAAGGTAATCCGGGTTTTATGGATGAACTTCATAATGGTTATGGGCAATCATGCATGGTTGAGTTTCCTTGTAAACTTAAGTTTGTGCTTAAGACAATTTTTGAGCCTAAATAAAAAATCGAGTCTGTTCATTCAATCCAGATTATCAATTAATTTTAAGGCAAAATGATACAATCTCATCATTCTTGCTAAATTCATATCCAGAAGTATTTTTTTTATCCATTTGTTTTAAAATCAATTTTTGTTTCCTCATCAACAATACATATTGAGTCTGCGTTATCAAATTTGCCACTTACATATGATTTTGGGATTTTTTTTTTCTTGGAATTATTTTTAGAAAGATATATAACGCATTGACAATTTTTGTTTCCTCATCAACAATACATATTGAGTTTGCGTTATCAAATTTGCCACTTACATATGATTTTTGGATTTTTTTTTTTTGGAATTATTTTTAGAAAGATATATAACGCATTGAGATATTTAGATCTGAAGCCTCTGGGTTAGGCTTTTTTGTGTTCACTTTCCACACTCAAGATTCAAAAGTTGTTTATGATGTAGTTTCTTCACTTCCACTATGCTCATTAGATTTCTAAGCTAATAGCTTTTGTCTAACTTTTAAAGAAACCATGAGAATTGATGCAACATAATTAATTATGTTTACTTTATTTTCTAATATTTAATATTTATTTATTTTTATCAGGTTTTAAAATTTATTTATTTTAAAATCAGGCTTTGAATTTGAATTAGTATTATATTTGATTTCATTTTACCTATCTAACCATTTTTCTATAAATAAGAGTTATTAGCTCATATTTTAATCAATTGATTGATGTATTGAAACTAAAGTTTCTTCCCCCAATTATATGCTCTAAGACAATTATGTATTGCACCCAACATTTTGATAAATGATACATGGTGATAGAATAAATAATATAAAATAGGGAAACTTACATATCTACCCCAAAATTCTTATGTATTTGTGTATTTAACACTTAGTTTGATAATTACATTTATAACATTTTGATGTTAAAACTTGTATATGAAAAGGCATATTTCACTCTTAAAAAGTTAGTAATTGTGGAATTTTTTTTGTAATGTCAAAGATTTGAATGGCACGTATGTAAATATGAAATTTTAAATGCTAGATATGTAAATATATAAAAAATGTGTGGTATATAAGTAACTGCCCCTATAAAATAACCTATGTAACTGAGCATGAACTAATTATGTATAAAAATAAATAATATAGCTTGTCGTATGAACAGTACATGCAATGCAACATACATGAACATTTTTCAAAATTTTGAAGATACAATATTACAAATTGGACAAATAGAGGAACATATAATGCCATAAGTCATTCACATTCAACGCATATATGCATTTTTTCATATTAACAAATGTGACATCTCAAATCATACAACTAAAATTATCATGTGGACTTATCAAAGCATATATGCAAAATCATGTGGACCAACAATCATAAAAAACTCATGCGAGATTTAACAATTAATGAAATTTGAAGGGGAATTTCTATCATGACTAATGCAACTTCCTCTGTTGACTTGTTCTTCAGCTAACACAAGGCCTCAAAAAATGGGCTTTGTTTCTCTACCCTCTCTCTTCATGTCTTTATTGTTGACGCCAATAGCCTGTGATGAAGGAATGGCATGAAAATAGCTTAAAGATGATAAGTAAATAGTGAAAACGTTCATTTTGCAAGCTTTGTCATGTAGGAATTTAAGCCATGGACGAAGCTAATACCTAAATCAATACTCTTAAAATTATGAAAAAAATAACAAAATTTGTTTGAAACTGGATATTTTTTGGCTCTAGAAACTGTAATTGTATGAGCCCATGCCATGATATCATAACATAGTTTATGATGATATCGTTAAATAGTTTATTGAATCATGCAATAGATTGCTAACCAAATTGTACGTACGATTGCTTATTCCAAATCATATTTATATTGTGGCATGATTAGGAGAGCATGCAAGTCAAAACACATTTGCATATACATATAATTTGGAAGGTTTACATACATACCACTCAATTCCTATGATTTACATATATGACACCTAAACTTTAATTTTTACATACATACCACCTTACATAAGCATGAAAAGGTGTATCTCACTTTCTTAAAAGCTAAAATGATGGCATTTTTTATGTGATGAAAATTTTGGGCGGTATAAATGTAAAAAAGTAATGTTTAGTTGTTAGATATGTAAATACATATTAATTGGGTGGTATGTATGTGAATACCTCATTTAATTTTCTAGAAATTGACGATACTAAAGCATATATTTCATTTCAAGTGTAAGTTGGATCGCTCTGTAGGCATATCAGTCATTGTAGTGCCGTGGTAATATTTAATATAGAAAAATAAATTTCCTTATTATGTCTGCCAACCCACAGCCAAGTTTGGGCCAATTGCATTTTCACCACCCATACAACTATTGCCCATTTTGTGTTGTGTTATTGTTTGGTCTTGGTGGGCCACGGGCATCTTCTTATGCATTCCAAGACTTGTAGGTGTTGTATATAAGGGTCTTAGCGGCACTTACATACATGCCACACAATTTTTATATATTTGGACATCTAACCCCTAGAATTTGATATATGCATGCATTACCACTCAAATTTTTAACATCACATAAAAATACCACTATTATTACCTTTTTAAAATTAAAATATACCTTTTTGTGCATGTTATATAACACCAAAGTGTTACAATGTAAATATCAAAATTTATGTGTTAGAAATTTAAATACATAAAAATTGTGTGTTATGCATGCAAATTACCTTATTTAAATGCACTTTTCTGTTTTCCTTTTTTCATGCTTGAACTATATTACTTTCCTTTTCTCTTCTGGTGTACACAAAAACTTTTGTTGTGGGTTGCCATGTATTTCGAAAGGCAATCCTCTACATTTACCAAAGGTCTTCATTTGAGTAGAACTAGAACTAAATACATGAAATGTAATTTTAGTAGTAGTAGCTCTAGTGGCAGAAATGTTACTATGGTGATCAAATTATTAAAAGGTGTGAACGCTTTAGATATCTCGATTCTATTGTTCAAAGTGATGGTGATATTGATGGGGATGTTATTAGTAGAGTTCAAATTGGTTGGTTGAAGTGGAGGAATGCTCGTGCCTATTGTGTGATAGAAAAGTTCTGCTTAGGCTAAAAGGAAAATTTTATAAGATGGTGGTGAGACCTACTATGCTCTGTGGCGTTGAATGTTGGCCTTTAAAAGAGAGGTATAAAACTAAGTTGAGTGTTGTCGAGATGAGAATGATTAGGTGGATGAGTGGCTTTACACTTAGAGACAAAATGTAAAATGAATATATCCGTGATAGGGTTGGTTTAGCTCTGGCGACGGACAAAACTAGAGAGAGTCGTCTTAGATGGTTTGGTCACATTAAATGTCGACCACCTGATGATCTAGTTAGAAGACTAGATGTCTTACTGAAATCCATTTTGTATGTCTGACTATATTTCTCTTGAATTCACAAGTTTTGTCTCTGCATTCTTTGGTCGACAAATTTTAAAAAAAACTTCTAGTCCATCCAATATTTGGAACCATACTAGTGTGTTACATCTATTTTTTTTATATCCATCTCAATGAAATAGTAAGAATCTGAAGTCAACCTCACTGCTGCCCACAACAATCAGAGATTTGGGGACAGATTAGGTTTGCAATTTTGGAAAAAAAACATAGATTTTCACTTCGGAATTTGGTCAACAATAAACTTTACATTTATTCTATGTGATAATCTCACAAAATTTTGAAGTCTTTTGATGGAATTTATAGGGGCATTATATACATACCATCCAATTCTCTTTTGTATTTATTTATTTGGCACCTAAACCTTCATATTTATATGCATTGCACTTAAATATTTAACATCACAACAAAAATATTGCCATCATTATCTTTTAGAAGTGAATACATATTTTCATACATAAACTTATCACAAAAATATTTTATAAGTGTAAATATCGAACTTTGGGTGTTAGAT